AATGTCTCTTATCTAGATTTGCAGAGGATTTGGCTTTATAAAATAGGCTCCAATTCACAAAGCTCTTTTCTCTTCCTCTTGCTTCTGCTCTTATTGAGCAAATCCAGGATTTTGCCGGAGTCCCTCCTCTTTGGCTCCTGGACCCGACCACATGCGCAGTCTGAGCTTTCAGACTATGTTGTACTGTGACACAGCACCCGCATGTTTCTCCTGCCTCAGGAAGTCTTGGCCTGCTGGCCACTTACATGAGACTTCTTAAAGCTGGAGGGAAACAGCAGTGATTTGCCACAGTGGTGGGAACCCCCGCCCCTCACCCCAAACCAGAGAATACCTCTATGCTACTGCTCCTTGTCTCTTCCTATCATGGATCATGACATGCAGAGTCATCTCCCTGCTCTGTTCTATTGCAAGCAAATCCCATATGATCCCAGAAACTCTGTCTGTGAGATCACCTATGAAATATTTATTCCCCTTGCATGCAAGTGAAAAGGAAGCAAAAAGCCTGTATACTATTGATGGAATCTCTGATAGACAAATATTAAATTATTTACAGCCTAATTGTGCAAGTGATACTCATGAGATCACTTAGGCTGCAAAATGCAATTAATACATTTCACAAAATTGGTGACTTCTACTTCAGATTTTGTTTTGATGCATCGGTGAGTTGCTAAAATACACGTAAGATCTCTTTGCAGGAGAAGAACTAGAATATCCACAGACACATGAAATGCCTACAGAGCTTTTTCAGAGTGATGCTATAAAATAGAATGGCTTGGGTTGGAAGGATTTTGAAGACCGAAGTTCCAATGCCCCTGCCATGGGTAGGGACACCTCCCACTAGACCAGGTTGCTCAAATCCCCTTCCAACCTGGCCTTGAACACTGCCAGGGATGGGGCAGCCACAGCTTCTCTGAACAGGCTGTTTGAGTTCCTCAGCACCCTCACAGTAATATCTAATATCTAACGTAAATCCACCCTCTTTTCAGTGTAAAGCCATTCCTCCTTGTCCTATCACTAGCTGCCTGAAGATACACATCTGGAGCCATTTCAGATGTTCAGGTGAATCCTACCTGCCTGCTAGCTGTTGTTCCAGAAGGGCACAGATCTCCCGTAGGTCTTGTGTTACATCTGAAACTCCCAAATGCCCTGGATACCCCAAGGCATCTCAGATGGCATTAAATACATATATGCAAGACAAGGAACTGAATCTATGTGACCGATGGCCCCAGCAGACCTCCCAGCACAGGAAGCAGTGACCAGACACTACAACAGTCCCTGTGCTGAAGCATCCTGCGTCTCCTTGTTACTGCAGTGCCTGCTGTGTAGCTATTATGCAGTGCTTCATACATGTACTAACTGTTCTCCTTTTTGCCCAACCTACAGCAGGTGGAGTAGATTAGCCACTGAACTCATAGAATTCTGATTTCCAGACACAGAGCTTTTTTGTCCAGTCCCAAGTACACAGACTGATGTGGCGGTTGTCACAGGGACTTGTCTATTTCTCTAATGCCAAACATCTCTTGAACCCTCCCTCTTACTAGTTAATACATACCTGAACCCTGACACCTAAAGTGGTTCACAAGTTGCATCTCTTAAAACAGTTATATTCTGTATCCCTCATTATATTGTACTCCTTCCAGAGCTTTGGGGGTATTGCCTCCTTCCCAAGCATTTCAGCAGCATTTAGTGACCATCCCTTGAAACCACTGGAGCTGAAAAGGCTCTAGGCACTCTGCTTTGGTTTTAGGATGGCAACAAGAACAAAAAAAAAAAAAAAACAAACCCAAAAAAAACAAATAAAAAGCAAAAGCCTGAGCCAGTTTTACAATGCTGTCCTCACTGGGCTGAATAACACCCATTTCCTCTCAAGATGAGACACATCATGTATGTCTAAAACCCTCAGCCTATCCCAATTTACAAATTCTAGTACAGCTGTAGCTATAAAGAGCCAGCCAAAATGAATTATGACAGATTAAGGAACAAAGCAACATACTGCAATGGCCTCTTGTTAAACTGAAACATCTGATCCAAACCAAGCAATTTCAGCCCCTCCCTAAGCTCTTGCTTTCTTGCTCATCATCTTTTGCATTTTTCTGCTGATCGGCATCATCTGAACATGGTTTACTCAGATGTACCCAGGCTGTCATTGAGAAGCTTTGCTAGTGGCCTCCACTGAGACAGCCAAGAAAGCAGGTTTGTAGGGAGCCCACCTCCTGCAGGCCTGCACAGGTGAGGTTTATTCCTTTGGTTTTATTATTATCAGGCTTTTGTTCCATTTAGAATTGGCAGGCAGAGAGGGACAATTAAAGCCTCTGCTTATGACAGAGGAAAGCATATTTATTTCAGCCAGGTACTTTTTCTTCTCTTCCTTCCCACCCCCTTTTCCCTAAATGTGAGACAAAGGTAGACAGACAGTTTACTTTACTTGCACAATATACACCATACATCTCGAAAGCTGATAAGAAAACAAGCCAGTGTCTGTGTTATATACAGAAGTACCTGAGGGAGGAAACAGCAACACAATTTACCAGCTGGGAGGAGATCGCAGATTGGGAAGGTGGTTACACCTTTACAAAGCTAAAACTTGCGTAGCTTAACTTTTTTTTTTTTCCAAATATTATTCATAGTTTAAAATTAAAAAAGGAGGCTGTTTGGTTATGAAATACAAGCAAATCTGTCAGGTTTTACCCCTCTTTTCATTTTGTTTGAAAGTGTGTATTGAAAGCAAGGTAAGGGTATGCCCAGCTCTACCTTCTAAACTTCTGTTTAGTAGAAGAGGAATAAGATTGCTCTGAGACAAGCAAATGCAGAGTTACCCAGGGGCTGAAGATACTAGGTCACTTGGACCATCAGCTCTTTGGAAAATGAGTGCCAAGTGTTGCCTTACAGGGTCCTTCATCAAACTGTCTCTGACCACAAGAAGGAAGTCCCTATCCACTGGATGCTCCACAGAAGAAAATAAGCCATCCACCAGCACGGTTGGTGCTTTCCTTAGTGTTAAGTATCACCAACTGGTGGGTGTCTCACAAGCCAGGTCTAGGTGCTGTATACAAAAGGGAAGGTGCTCTCAGTTTCCTAACAGCCCTGAATATGAATGGGTGAGTTAGATGGCAGTAGGCTTTGTATACCTTGATATTTTGAGCACCCTAGACTTGTTAGAGGTGCGATCCCTGTTGGAAAACACTCTTTGCTATAAACACATTGATGAGCATAGAAGAAAATGGTCAAACCTTCCCCATTTGCCTTTACTATCTATCCTTTTCGGTTGCTGGTCTGCTCCTTTCCCCTCCTCCCCATTATTCTGCAATTGCTGTTAGTTGCTGACGAAGCCGAAGAAACAATTAAGATACTTCAGAAAAAACAGATAATTTCGCACATGCCATGCTGAGTACCCAGCAGATGTTACTCAAGATATACACATTCTGTTTTTGGGCAAGTATTCCCAAGGGTTTTTCCCCCATCATAAGGATGAGCGGTTTCAGTAGAAATCAGGTTAATTTTAAGTGGAAGGTCTCTAGGGGGGTATTAACATGCCATCATCTTGTGTGGTGGATCCCATAGAATTTTTATGTGTAATTAAAGAAATTAAGCCAGTAATCAGGCTAGACAGGGATTCAGGTAGGAAAGTGGTAATGGCAGTTACAGCAAATTGGGTTGGTTGCAAATATCAGACACCTTCTGATTTACTAGACGGTTTCAAGGCAGAACAAATAAGATGCCTACAGGGAGCTCTTTACCCCCAGAAGACTGTAGCAAGTCCCAAGAGCCAGGATTTGACCCTAATGGTTTTGGTCATCACAGTTCAGCCAACAAGGAAATTATACACTGGGAGAAATGCTGTGATGGTCTGCAGCCAGATCTCAGTTGACACAAGGTGTTGCAACTTCACTGAAGCATTTGGCCCACATCCAATGTAAGAGGCCATGGAAGATGTTTCTTTCCACTGTCCTCCTCCTTAATCCATCCCCAGCATCTGTCATCACACGAAAGGGGATGGAGGCAGTGGAGCCAGCATTACAGTAAGCGGCTTGCTGAGCCAGCTGCAGACATTTGCCATCTTCTGGCTATGCTGAAGACTGGACAATTAGGAAAATGTTTTCATTAGCCTCACTCACCTGAAAAATAATCAGCAGCCAACTCCCATTTCAAAAGGCCGCCTGGCAAAGAGTCAAGAAACGAAAACAAGTGGTGAACAGGTTGCAAAGACAAACAATAAATAACTAAGTCTGTGATGATCCACCATCTTGAATGGATCTTCAGTTTCCAACACCAGGGTTTTTTCACTCAGACACATAAATCTCAGGCATTCATACTTTGCCGATATTTTAAGTCATGCCCATAAAGCATAACTAAACAAGACCTAAACTGATGAAAAGCAAGTTGTTACTTTTAAAGGAGCTTGGTGAGCCTGTGAATGGAGTTGATGGCTTCAGTCCAGCAGATGACAATCCATTAAATTAGAGAAAAATTTGCCACCACAACTCTTAGTGCCAGGAAAGGTGTGAAAGACAATGTGGCCCTTCCAGGATGTGCACAACCGTATTTTTGATGCCACAGATGGTAGCCTGAATGGCTGCAGGTTTTTTGCCTTGCATTTTCATAGACCATAAAGATACTTAATCTTCACTGTTTTGAGGGAGACATTTTAGATATAGCAAGCTTATGAAGAGACACGTCCCACTTGAATAATTTTCAAAACACCTCTTCCTTTCAAGTCACCAACTCTCAGTGAGGGGGAGAAGAAGAAATAAAGAAACATTGAGCCAAAGCCCATAAACAGATTTCTCTGTGTGTGCAAGATGAGCCTAGGAAAAGCAAAACAATTCATCTACCCAAGAGTGGCTTTACAGGGAAAGGTTAAGGAATAATAAAGAGGGATTTAAATCGCACCACTTTACACACATTTATGAGGGAGAAATTCAACACCCAGATAACAAATTCAGTTCAGGTTTTGCTTCCTCTCTCCCTCCCCCTCAACCCCCCTTAGAGATGACATACCCTTCCATTTGTAAATTACTTTAATTTAAATACTTCCAGGTTAGCAAAATGTCTTAACTTTGACATGCCCCAAATTACAAAACAGAAACAAAATCTCTTGACAAAGGGTAAGAAGAAAAATATAATCCAAGCCCAAACCTCCTTTCCTAAGCTGGAGTTTACGGTCTGTGAGCTGGCTGCCCTCCAGAGTCTGACACAATGTCTGGAGCACACAGAGCAGCTGGAATTAATTTTCTTCCTCCAAATCTATGCACTTTCATATGAAGTTGTATTTTGGCACTGCTGCCTAAAAGAGAATTCAGTGCAAAAAATCTAACCCCGGCCGTGTTTCTTTGCAACCAAACACTCTCTGAGCAAACAGCAAAAAAGGAGAAGAGCACGAAAAAAAATTAGAGAAAGAAAAGCCCTTTCCCTTCCCCCACACATACACAGATGACTGTACCAAACAGGGGGGCTATTCATGGCTGTTCAGAAATGGGTCACAAGGAGAAATGTTTGCAGATAAAACCAACACTTCTTTTTCTTTTTTTTTCTCCTTCTTCCTTTTTTTTTTTTTCCCCTTTTTTTCTTTTTTTAAATAAACACCATGGAGGCCCCTGGAAGGCGCTGGGAATGTTCGAGAGTCAAGGTCCTGCTGATCCCTTTCGCCTCCCATTCGCACGGCTCCCACGCCAGCCCCGATGCACAGCCCCCTCCGTGGGGGCCCAGATCCCATCGAGCCACCTCCTCCAAGTCCAAGCCTCTGTGGGGAGCCCGGGGGGTACATGTGGGCATCACGCTGCTGCTCCTTGCCTGGGTTGGTGGTGGGGCCGGGGGGAGGAGGGAGGCATCCAAGGCACTCCCAGGCGGTCCCGTCACAAAATCACGCACTGGAGTCTGTGGGAGCCCGTGGCTCTGTCCCCTCGCCATTTGGTCTTTTTCTTCTTCTTCTGGCTTTTCTCTGGGATCTGTTGCCTGTTTTGGGAGACAGACAGGAAAATAAGCAGATGAGACACAAGGCTGTCTCAGACATCAGCATCCTGAGCCCTGGGCAGCTGGCAGAATGGCATCTTGGCGTGCTTATGTATATCTCCATATACCCTTCCACCACCACGTGGCTTTTCATGCTACACAGGGAACAAGACAACTGCCTGCATTTTTAAGGAAAGAGGAAAGAAGCCATAAGGAAACATTAAGGCTAATGGCAGGGATGTATGTCCTGCCATGACACTATGCCTCCGGTTGCCCTGGGTGAACTGCTGCCTCCTCCCCTGCCAGGGGGCTGCTCTGGGAAACAGAGCAACAACATCCATCACACTGCTGCTAGTGCTCATTAGGGAAGAAGATGAAAGAGATACAGAGTGCACAGAGAAATAAACCCTCTTGGAAAGATTTGCTTTCAGCCGGCATTGCCCTTAGCCAGCTGCGCTGCTGTGGTCTTGGTTATGGAGGGGGGGCTAAAAAATAATAATGAACAAACAGAATCTGCTGCCAAAGGGGCTCTGGCCTCCCATGGAAGTTGTGAAGAGCACCAGAGCATGCAGGACGAGCTGAGCCCTGAAAGATGTCCTTGGCTGTCTGAAGTCACGGCCACCCAAAACAGGCAGCTGAAAGCACCAACATCTTCCATAGATTCAAATAGTGTCTAAATCACCAACCTGAGAGTTTAAATAGCTCAAAACCAGCCTCTTTGCTATGTTATATGCTGGACACTAAACTGAGTGTCTAAAACAAGTTATCCAGACCAGGATGAGACATAGCTGAGGGACAAATTATGGCTTTAGTTGGTGTTTTTCTTACTGCCTCAGCTCTCAAATGTTTGCAACCACCTGAAAAACTCAGCTTTCACTAGTAAGATTTTTTTCAGTGAGTATGAAGGTTGGAAGCATGAAAATCATAAAACTTTAAAGCTCAAATAAGCAGCCACAAGCTGTTCACAATGTTCTGGAACCATTTTAGAGATCCAGAAAACCACGTCCCACACCCGCTCAAGATCTTTGCTGTGACAGTCCCTCTGTATGCATTGCTGCAGCATAAAAGGTGTATCAGGAAATTTAAAAGGTCTATTGGGTGAACTCTATCACCCTCCTCCTTTCTGGACTACTTCTAGACAAGGGTTTCCTGCATAAAGCTAAATAAATTGGGAATCAGTCAAGTGCAAAGAGCATGAACAGTGCCAACTCTGAGTGAGTGTCCTCACCCTGCAAATGCACATAGGCTCTGAAGAGCCTCCACATTTTTAAAGCACTCCTGGAGCACCGCAGTTATTAGGGAGTTGTAAATTTACATGTTATTTGGAAAAACTCATTTAAAAAAAAGAAAAGCAATACTTGGTAGGTGATGCCATCCGATGGCTGAGGATAGTTTGCAATGTTCAAAGACCAAGTGAAGCTGTTTTGTGGCAAATGACCAACTAAATCACATGGCACCTCTTTTCTCTCTGACTTAACCAGAGTTCCAGCTTTTGTGAACATCTCTGGTGCCTCTAACGCTATGGAGAGTTTTACCTGGCTGGTAATGACTTTCATGGTGACTACTCAGGGAACAGGGTGCATCACCCATTTTTGAAGTTATGAAGTGCATTTTCAGGCCTTGAATTTAGTGATGTGTTATTACAGAACTCCTTCCAGACTGTCTGGAGATGTGTTATGTAGAGATAGCAAACAGAGCCTCACCATCTTATTTTGGCTATGTTTTTTTCCCCGCAGAGTGGAATAGATGGTGGCAAGAGCTCACTGTAACACAAAAGTAATATCTAGACAGCCAATGATGAGTTACAGAACAGTTGGGAAATAGTTTGGGACATTTCCAGCTCAGCTCTGTATTCTCCAAAGACTTTCTGCCCCCTGCTTTTGAGACATGTGGGAAGAGTGGGCAGTACCATCTGTTTCTGATAGAGGCTGACTCGAGTCTGTGCTAAGATATTCACAAGTACAAATACACTGTGAATAAATGCCTCATGGTTTAATTGCCGAGCGAGGCACTTTGACTGCATAGTGGGGAAGAGCATGATTTCAGCTCAGCACCCTCCAAAACATGAAAAATGAGGGCCCAGAAAAATCTGGTGCCAGAAAAACAAATCTTCTCAGAGAGATTTGAGGCTATCAGCCGAGACGCCAAGATGTGCATACAGCTCTTTTCCTGCAGGGCAGCCAGCATTCTGGAAAGCAGTCCCTCCCTGCCAGCAGCCAGAGTAGGGATTCGCCCAGAGAGCAGGCATTTGCCAAAGCAAGGAAAGGCAGCCCATGCCAAAACTGGGAACAAGTTTCTGCAGTCTGAGGAGGAAACCTGTGGCGTAGCCATTAGGTCATGCTGCTTCTCACACAAAGCTGCTTAATTTTTTCCATTTAGTGAGCAGAAAATGTTACAAGTCACCTACAGCATCAGACTATTGTAGAATTGTTTTGCCAGTCCCCTTTAACCTCTGTCAACATGAGACCACGAGACGAAAAAGCTATGAAAACCCAAATTACTGGTCGAGAGCTTTTAATGCCAGCCTTTTAAAGTTGATCATTACAGTAGGCTTTGCACTGTTCACTGAATAATATGGTTTCATCATGGCCACAGCTAGTCCTCAACCTGCCTAGTACTGATGTCCTGCACGGGTAACTAATTGCTAGTAACATGCCTATGCAGATACAGGACAAGAAAGTTTAATATATCCCAGAAGTCTCCCACCCCCACCAAACCACATGACCCCAGAAGTTGGCTCCTGGCTCTCTGGGCCAGGACTCCTGCATGTTCCATCCCCAGGCAGTAAGCAGGTGAAGAGACTGCAGCTTACCTTATTACCCTTACGAGGTCGTGGAAGGCCTTGTCAACGTTTAGAGGTGGGTCCTTGGCACTAGTTTCTATATAGGGAATCTGGAGGAGAGAAGCGTATCATGGAAGAAATTAGTAACAGCCTGCATGTTGGTAGCAAACCAGTTTCAAGATGAAAAACCCTAAAGGCTGGAGTAATTGGGTGCCTAAGAGACCAGGGAAATACAGGTAAACAGTGTTGTCACGGCACTGCTATCAACACCTTCACGATCACAGCAAGGTCAGTGAGTGCTTGACAAAAGGTTCAGAATAAGCACCAGGCAAACCAGCTGCTATCAGAGCTCTGGGTTTATAATACTCTTAGGTTTCATGTTGTCAGATGTTCTCTCCCCCTAATCTGTGCTTGCAGACATGAAAATAGCCGAAGGTTGTTGAAAGACAAGCACTTGCCAAAATTCTTGCTTGCCACATTTTATTAGGACTAGTGCATGAATATTTCATGACTACAATTCCCCTTCAGTGTAAAATGATCTTCTCCTTCAAAGTCTGACAGCCAGATGGGGCCTCCTGGAGTGCCTGTCCAGCATGCTGGCGGATTTATAGAGCTGCCTCTGATAAGGTATTTTCGTACATGGCCTTTTCCAAAGCGTGCACGTACAGATGGGTGCAACATGTTATGCTGCAGTTTAGGTGACCTGGATCCTACAGAAACAAGCTTCCTTGGGGAGGGGAGGGAGTGAACCTGCCCTGCCAAACTCCCATTGTGGCTTGTTTAGAAACATTTAGGCATAGCAAGCTGCCAAGAGGTCTCAGGCTTGTTTGCTTTTACTTTTCCACTCACTTCCTCCTAGGGAGTTGTCTCCCTCTGGATGTTCAGGACTGCTGGCATTTAGAGGTGATTAGTGGAGTAGGGTGTGATCTACATCCATCTAAGACCAATTTCTCAGGCTAAACTCCAGCATGAATAATGCAGAGCTAATATGGTGGGACATATTTATGTAGGCTTAACAACCTTGTAACTTCATTATCTTTAACAAGCTCACTTCCTACAGACACCTGGCTATACTTCCTAATGTCTGACTCCACCTTTTCACTCCAGGAGAGAGCACTTTCTTCCCTCATTTTGAATATTTCACATTTCTCACCACTTGCAGACACTTTGTACAAATGGCTTTGTGATGGCCAGTGTCACTACAGCCCAGTGCTCAGCAGAGCTTCTAGTTTCAATGATGAACTGGCCCTGCTGAAAGGCAACTGCATACTACTGCATAGCTACTACACTGTAGTAATCAAAAATGTAATTGCAAATGTTCGATTGTAAGAGAAATACTTTAATTCCACTCCAAATGAGCTGAGAATTCAATTCTGAATGCCTGTAATGGGACTTAGAACAACCAATTAAACAATCCTGCAAACTTACATTATGTTTTGTTGCCATTTCTCTTCCCTGTTCTCTTGTAATTTTCCGCAAATGCATTAGATCAACTTTGTTCGCCACCAAAATCATTGGAAAGGACTCTCTGGAAAAAATCAAAACCACCACTCAATTATTAGCAGACTACAATAAAAAATGCTAAGCGTAAGTTTCACTTTCTGATGCTGACATCATCTAACATTCAGCTACAGACATACCACATATGTAACAGACCAAATGAACACACTTCAGCCCCCAGACTGTGCTACATATATGTTCATATTGTAAAATTTCACTTCTCAAAGTTTCATGCATGCACACATTCATCCTTATTTGCGAGCACTTCAGGGACTTTGTGTCATTGTTTTTGCAATGCCTGATAATAGCTAAGCCTGAAGATCCAATTTGATGAAGAAAGAACTACAGAATTAGCCAGGAAATTAACCGAGACATAGAGGCAGCTCTTGAACAGGAGATCGGGACTCTTTTATAACAGTTCAGGCATCTCAGTAACTACATATCTTGGAAGCTGCTCCACACTACAAGGTAACAAGGTACGTGGTGGAACTGATGTCAGTTCATGTTCTGGTCATCCACTGAAAGCAACCATTGGGGGAGAAAAGATGTACACTGATAGCTGGAGTTTAGAGAGGTATCAAATGGGGTAGAAGAGATCCCCATCGCTGTTACCCCAAGAAAAATTGAAAGACTGGCAGTGGTGGCTGGAAGGAGGCTGAAGGGAACCAGCTTAGTCTCACTAAGCTTCCAGATTCTATTACCTACTATCTTCTCCTTCTAATCCCAGAGCAAAACCACAATGAACAACCATCCTTTTCTACCATAACCATCTACCTCTGTAATAATGCTCAGTACTTAACTTTACCAGGCATATAAGTGACTGTATTCAGCTACCGCCTGAGAAGAGACCCATCTAACCACAGCTTGCCCAGTGTGAGGCTCCCTTGATGAGGGTGGGTCAGGCTCTCACCTGGCAGAAACCCCCATAGCTTTGGTGATGAAACACAACCAAGGCATCTCATGCCATGGGAGGTCCTGGCAGCACAGCGCTGCCCACCCCACCTCTCACACTGGAGCCTCTCCTGGCTCAAGGATTCAAGGCCAGGTTGGACAGAACTTTGAGCAACCTGATCTACTGGAAGGTGTCCCTGTCCACGGGAGGGCTGCTGGAGCTAGATGACTGCTAAGGTCCCTTCCAACCCAAACTGTTCTATGATTCCGTGATTCCTTTGGCGGCATGCCACAGGCAGCAAAGCTGTGCTTCAGAGCCTTTACCCACTGCCAGGAGGGAGGAGGTCCCTTCTGATAATTGACAGTTACTGCAGTATTAGTTTCTTATATTTAACTTTAAACCCTCCAAAAATGATTGCAGTGTTTTCTGCTGTAACAGAGCTGATTTTACTGGGGTAAGGAGCAGCTGGCTGTACTCATTTCTGCATAAAACACTTCTCTGAGTAACTCTGGATTTTCAAACAGCATTTCTGTGTCATTTTTCATTGACATGATAAGGGCTTCATCTTCTCCCTGGCACATTGCCTCATTGCTCTGGCTAGAAAAACACTACTGCATTCTGCATTTTAAATGAGTCTTGCAAGTTATTTGTTCTGCTAATGTGGCTTTGATTTAATTTTAATGCCTAAGTATTGATATATCTTGACTCTGATCATTCTGGAGCAAAACACTTGCTTGTCTGGATTATTTGATTCCTTTTTGCTTGCAGCACATTGATAAGAAAGGGATTACATTTGGACAGTATCTGATTTGCCTTGTTTACATCAGGCATAAAACTCTATGGGGATTTTGTTCCCTGTTGCAAGATGTACGATTGCTAGTTGGACAAAACTACTAGAAAGTTTTACCGTAATGAAGGTTTTGGAAATAAACAGGAGGAAGGCTTTGTACAGTTCTGCTAATACAGCAGCCTGCAATTCCTTTGGATTTTAAGGTGCCAAAACTGACTACTAGCTTGAAAACCAGAGCGATGCTCTGTTCCCAGCTACCCACAGGTCTGGCAGGAACGTTCCTTTACTCACACTGCTCCTACTGCTGTGATTTGCTGAGTGAGCTCGGGTTTTGGATGAAACGTTAAGCTCCTCATGCTCTGCACTTCTGTAGTGTTGAGCAGGGAAACACAAACAACCTCACCAGCCTGTTTCACTTCCTGCTTCTCACACACTGGCTGCGGTGTTTGCACAGCATACGCAGGGGTAAAAATTTCAGTCCAGAGCAAAACAATGAATACCACATCTTATTTTCACAAAGTTAAATCAGATAAAACTGACATCGGTTTGGGGCAGGTTACAGGAAACGCTGTCCTATCTTCTTTAGCTTTCAGAAACAAATTTAATTTGCCTCAAGCTGAGCTGGCAGTGAAGAAAAGACTGTGATGATCTGGGAGGCTGACTGACTGACTGACTGACATTTTTCTTCATTTAGATGAAATCAAAGGATGTGTTTTCCTTTACTTTTCACTCTTGTGGGCTCCACTCTGGATGCTTTACTGGAAGAGCTGTCAGCTGTGAACCTCACATGATAGGAGTCCACCCTTCCTGTGGGGAAGTTATTCAGAGCTGTGAAAGGAAGCCAGCAACAAGGCCTGAACCCTCTGGTGGCTTTTCTTGATGACTTACATAATTAAAAGCCATTATGGATGGAAAAACTAAGTGTTTCAAAGCTGCAGATGTATAAGGGCTTAATTCACACCCCACCCAGAGAGGATGGGTTCATCACCTCTTGAACCAGGGTGGGAAGAGGGAGTTATCTCTGAGATAAACTGGCAGCTTCCCCTCTCTCTATCAGGATGCATTTGCTTACCATGATTAAACTCTCATTGCTACCTTCTCCCATGCAAGCAAAAGGAGGGGAGCAGGTGCTTACTCCTCAGTCACGCAGAGATGCTTTATTTGCTAAAAATGGTTGCTGCAGAGCACTATGCTTTAACTGCATTACACCCCTTGTAAGTAATACAGTTCTTTCCAACATGGGGCATTTTCCCTTTCAAGACACTTGTTCACAGCCTCAACTCATGCAGGACCTTATAAGGTTAGTTTGGCACAAACTGAAACCAGTAAAGGAGGATGCTGCCAGAACACACAACACGATTAGGCCTAAATGCTTGCCGACTCCCTGCTGGTGTTCCCAAAGTGCCTGCACTCTGCACAAAGCATCCTTTCTCCCCTCTTCAGAGCCAAACTGGTTACCTTCAAAGCTCTCTGATCTGCCTTTCTCACACTGCTCTGTCACACCTTTCTGGTAGGAGTTTCTCCCTTCCACCCTTCCAGACCTAGCGTTAAGACTCCATCCTAACACTACTGAACTTTTCCACATTGAAAGCACTACATGCTTATTGGAAGAGGTAAAACACTTCTTATTGCTCATATGTAGGTGCACAAACCCACATACAAGGATTTGCTCCAGGACAGCCAGGAGGCAAAAGGCAGGATGAGACCTGCAACCTCCCCAAGTGGCACAGTCTCCAGCAGCAGAAGCGGGACCAGGCATTGCCTGTCTTCGCAGCACCCACCTGTCCTTGACTCTGAGGATCAGCTGGTGGAACCGGTCCACATGCTCGAAGCTGGCCTTGTCCGTCACTGAGTAGACTATAAGAAAACCATCTCCAGTCCTCATGTACTGCTCTCGCATTGCGCTGAACTCCTCTTGGCCTGCAGTATCCAGAACTGGGATAGAAGAAACAAAGCGTTTCAGGTACTGTGAGTCCTGCAGCTGCTGTCACTCCTATGTGTCCTACATGGCTTTTCTGACTCCACTGAGCTTGGTCCTCTCAAAGGCTGCAAGATTTGGTGATAACAAATTGGATGGACAAGGTGGTTTCTTGTTACAAAGTAAAAACCACTCCCAGATCCCACTCATCACCGTGTGCCTACAGTGGGAGCAGATGGACGGGAAGAAGACTACCTGGATTTTACTTTCCTTTTCCAGTACAAAATACTGACCACTGAACCTGGGGAGTTACTTCTCTGGCAAGATATGGCTCAAAGTTATTCACAGACCTCCATTATTCCCTCTCCCAGATTTCTCTGTTCCCCTCATGGAAAAAAACAAGACTAGAAGAGTAAGTAAATGCCAATTTAAATGTCAGGGACAATCTACAAGCTGCAGGGTGAAGCAGAGCTGAGAGAAAACCCAGAATAATAGCTACAAGCATTTTCCTTTTCTCAGTACCTGGATATTACTTCTACACTATCACGTGCTTTCAGAGCAAGACTTGAGAAGGAGGGCTGAACAAGAGGATGAACAAGAGGAGTTCATCAGTTTAGGCTATGCCAGTACAAACATGGTGTGAGCTCAAAGTGCATCAGCTGCTCAGAAATAATATTCCTAATGCATCACTGTACCCTAGAGACAAACACAGGACCTTCATAACAAATGGGAACATTTTCACATTTCAGTCAACTGGGCTGGGTGGGAAAACTGTTTCCACCTCCACTGTGGAGCCACATCGTAAGCATCTGCTGCCCACAAGTGATGGGGAAAGCCCAGGGCACTGGTGGATGGAGACTGTGGCAAAGCATACTGCTGACGGAGCAGCAAAGCTTCATACAGGTTTTTCTAGTCTGAGCAGGCCCACAGTCCCAGCAAGATGCTCCTGTAGGGGTAAGTACTCAGCCTGAGCCAATTGCCAGATGGGGCCAGGATAAAGCCCACTTTACTGCTGGTGTTACTTGCTGAACCAGCATGGGTGACCACAGGTGGACATGCTGCATGTCACAGTTCACCCCACAAGCCAGCCCCCACACTTTCACTATACGTCTGCAGGAAAGGCAGCTATGCTGTAGGACCTACAGACCTTATTTGGTGATACCAGTCCCTTAAATCCTTCAACTTCATTTGCCTGTCTTAGCTGGTCTTGAATGTCTGTTTCCATGAGCCCTTAAAGTGAAAACTGCTTCTAGGGTCTTCCAGAGACCCTGAGATTTAGGCTTGTTTGCCAAATAACTGGAGCTTGCTGGAAAGTCATGGGTGTCTCTTCATAGCTTTTTATCCTTTCATCGTGCTTCTCCCCTCTAAATCTAGGAAACAAGGCCCTCAGCTCAAAGGCATCCAGGCTATTCTTAAGGACTATACAAAAAAAGAAAAAAGAAAAACAGCCCAAAGACACTCCATGTGCTGATGAATTTCTATGCCCTGGGCAGAATTGCTACCATGGAATAAGGCCAGGACAGAGTGGCTAGGACAGAAGAGGAAATCCTTCCTACCCACCCAACCCTTAAGGAGAGGCTGGGCTGCCCTCGTCTGACTTCTGCACCAGCTGGACATGATGTCGGGGCAGGGCTGAGAGCTGACAAGCAACACACACACACAAACATGCAGGTTTCCCCTCCAACACACACACCCTAGTTGTGGTGGAGTAGGACAGCTTCTCGCAGGGGGCTGGGCTCTCCTGCCCTCCCTGCCCCTGAGACACGGTAGGTACCCAAGCACAACCTGTGGGCAGGAAGGTGGAGATGGATGTACCACATCCTGCATGATAATTTGCTTAGAGACTTCCCCTTGCTCTGGCACATTTGCAAACCTCAAAGGAAACACATGAAGAGCATCCAGCTCTGCTTTTGCACCCATCAACCCATCCCCAAGCTGATGCCCCTCCAAAGCTTTGCATCCCCTGTGAGAGGGCAGGGGACTAGTCCTAGGGGAGAGCTGTGGGGATACCCAAGAGACAGAATGGGGTTGTGCTCCTGCCACTCCTACCTCGCCTGGATCTTGGCCATGGCATCATGCTAAACACAGGCAGAGCTGCAGTGTCAGCAGCTGCTATTTAAAGGGAATTCACTTGCAGCATTTGTAGACAGGCAAGCAAGTCCAGGCAGCATTTAAAATGGCAAGTTAAAAATGCAAGTAAAAGCCATGTAGCAGTGAATGTTAAGGTTAATCTCAGATGGGCTATTCACACAGAAGTTAAACATCACATAGATGGCCAGAGAAAGTCTTTAACTTTAAATCTGCTCTTCATAAAGACAATCCAATATCCTAACACTTCTGTGCTACACTTCTCTGTGCTACAGAGAAGACAGTGCGATCTGGATCCTCTGTAGGCAGGATGGGACCACATTCTGGAAAGCATCAGCAGCAAAAAGAGGCAGGATGTGAGTGGCTTTGCTTCTGGAATAATCCTGTGGCATAAAAGCTTCAAGAAGAATGGGAAAGTAGTGAGGAGAAACCTTGGGAAGGTGAAACTGGGAAGGTGATTCGACTGGGTTCCCAAAGGGGTGAGGATATTTACAATGTTAGCCAGCATTCCCCTTGTTTTAAAGTTCCCGTTTCTGCAGACAGGATGCCAGAAGACACAGAAATAATAATGAACAGAGAAGTACTATGAGCTCTCTTTTCCCCTGGTACACTTTAAAACAGCAGTTGGCTCTTACTGGCAGTTGCCCCACTGGCAGTGCATAAAAGCCAGTGCGGAAACAAGACTGGACCAGAGCACAGCAGGTTTTCCCTACCTCATTCTTCCAAGAACTGAAATCAGATTCATAGGCTGCACAGCTCATGATCAGGGACTTCCAGCAGCAAACTTGGTGAAGTTCCCACAAACTTGACTGAGAAAGAAGCAAGGAACAGCATTAACGAAAGCATTTAGATAAAGACTGAGGAGAGAGAAGCCAAGGATTATGTCTGGTGTAGGAACAGACATCATCCAGAGAGGGCAAAGCCATTTTACAGAGCTATCACATAATCAGCTGGAGACTAAACTAAGAGCAATTAGGCTGTGAAAGCCCAGCAGGGAGGCCTCCTGCTTTGCAGGTAAAAGGCTGCTGAGCGAAGAGATGGCCTTTTCTGCTTTCCAGTGGATGTAACCCCAACTGTTGTGATGAATTCCTTGCTAATTGAATCCTGCCCCTTAGAGCTCTCCACACTACTTTCCTGTGAATCCCAATGGGTTATGCAAGAGTGCAGCTGTTTAGAGAGCACTTTTGAGCACAGACAGAAGCCTAGGAATACACGGGAATTTGTAGCCCAAAATAGAGGCACTTGGGTGATTACAGGTACTTCGTGTGGCAAAATGTCTCTGCAACTGAGAGTGCTGAGTGCCCATCCAGAAACACAGGCATGTAAATCTAAGCCAAGGGCAGAGTCATACTATGAAACCTAAGTCACAGCATTGTTTTTTCTAGAGCCTAAGCTAGATTCAGTACAGATTCAAACACAACTCAGAACCTGCAGGGAGCTCAGATCTGGTTGTACAGATGAGTTCCTCTTCTCTTTTCATACCTAGGCACATTCCTTTTTATTTTTTTATCTTCTTATTGCTGGGCAGCTAGATGCATAGATCAACTCATGGGAGTTTCTTCACTATCCACGGCATCTAAGGGGCCAAAGGTGATGAGACAGGCAGGTTAAACTTATTTTCTATCCTTCAGTCCTTGGGTTTTACTGCTCGAATCAGACACCAGCAGCCCGTTCCAAGCAGCAACTGCACAATGCTGCAGCCAGCCCTGAAAGCAGCTCAGTGTGGCTCCTCAAGTGCCTTGCCTTTCAGTGTCCAGGACACAGTTGTTAGCACCTACCTCAATCTCATGCTCGGAAAGGCAAGCACAATGTGTACAACTTGGTTTCTGCAAGCAGTCTCCAATGAAATCCCTTTGGCTACATAAGTCCAGCACATGCGTAACCCGTTAAGGGCCTGGATGGGTCAGCAGGCAGATAGGAACCCGAGTTTACAGTGTCAGGGAGAGGAGCTGCACAAAGGAGCAACTCCAGGTGTCTTCTGCTTCTTTGACCTCTTAATACGAAATACAGGAAAAATCCCTGGAGCAAAGAGCAGACCTGGGAATGCAGCACTGCCAGGGGACCACAGGTTACAGAGCTGGACTCATAGTGCTTCTTTCTCCTAGTCTTGCTTTCCTCTTGGCATGGCAGCTCTTCTTCTAAAGGTGAGGACAGAGAGAAACTCCATCCCCAGTTGCTCTGCACCTTGATAGTGAAGCTCAAGGGAAAACTTAACTTGAATTGACAAGTCAAACTAACAAGTCTCAGGCTAACAAAAAGTCATCATCACAGTTTTCATTTTCCTTCATCAGCAGTGCAGTGGGAGAGGACACGCCCATCAGCCATTCACTTCAGCTGAGGAATGAGTATTCTGGGTGATGAGCAGTTAGAGTGCAGGGGCCATGGTTTATATTCTGTACTCCCCCACTCCAAGTCATCCTGAAGAGGTATGAGGTTGCCATGCTTTGCTGAAGGTGAGGCAGGTGCTTCACCTGGTCACTGATACTTCTGCTCCTTTCCAGATACAGTCACACTGCCCACACTGGTCCAGGAATGAGAGCTTTCCTGAGGCAAAAACATGTGATGGGAAACACTGGGGCTTTTATGAGCCCTTCTTCTGTGCCCTAACTAAATACACCGATGTTATAACATGGAAATCCCAAGTACTTGAATTCTTGCCCTTTCTTTAAGGAAAAAGAAGAGGGGCCTTCAGAAGAAAGACTTACACATCAATAAACAGAATAAAGATGCGAGCCCTTAAAGGAGCTCTTTCTCTAACAAAGGGCAAGTATTCAAAGCCTTGTGTTTTCCATGTTGCAACATCAAAATTTTCCTGGCAGGAAAAAAATCCCACAACCCAAGACAAAACCCGCTCTTCCAAGGTTGCAAAATCCCAGCAATTAAGGGAGGAAAAATACTGTACACACAAATAAAAGAATTCAAGTACAAACTTCATTTGAATTTTAATTCTTTCAATGATGCTACCCAGAGTTTAAATAAAAAAAAGGAAAGAAAGAAAGCTGCACACCAACCCTTCTGCCTGCAAGTCTGAAGTGACCTTTGATCTCCCTCTGGCCTCCTGGCTGAATTGTTCCCAAGCTTCCTGAGGAGAAAAGCAGACAGCCTGTCCTGGGATGACTAGCAGCAAAAAGATGCATGGGAAACACAAGGGAGCCTGGCAGAAGTAATGGTGCTTGGTGTTACTCCACAGGGCTGCCCACCAGAGCAGATCTAGCCCAATGCAAGAACTGCACAGCAAACTTTTTTTTTGCACAGCAAAAGAACTGTGCAAATCTGCACAGCAGATCTAGCCCAATGCATGAATCCCCAGGGACAGAGAGGGGGACTTGGGAAGAAAAGAAACACAGTGAAAAACTGAAGCTCAGGAGCAGGAAAACAACTTCCAGGCAGTGAGTTTAATCTAAATCAAACTAGGCGAAGTAAAGGGAAGAGGAGGAAGACTACAGCCTCCTTCCATCAATGCACAGGCACAATTTCTTGCTTTGCTGGTACCAATTGGCACAGCCCTACTGACAGCAAAGAATTTAGCCCAATTCATCAATAAGCCCAAGCCATGTCCTTCCGACCATCTCTTCCTCTCCTCTTCCTTGACACCTTTTTATTTCTGTGTGGTTTACAAGCCGTAAGGATTTTGAACCATTGGGATTTTTTTGCCTTACTAAGGTATTCCACTTTTGTCTTCATGCCCAGATGATTAATTCCAGACTGGCATTTTGCAGCCAAGCCATCATTTGCTAATTGCTAAGTTAGCCTGCACACAGAGAAGAGTGTACAAAATTAATGACGGCAACTCAATTGGATCAAAGTAGATTAACCCTGGCCCCCACTTGATTCTGACCTGATGTGTCTATACAGCACCTGCGTGTGAATGCATTTAACCAAGCACATCACCATGTTGATTGCAGCATGAATAGCCGGGAATAAATGAAGATAACATATGCTGAGAAAACTGGAGGCTGATCTTAAAGCCTCATTTGGGGTGGTAGCAACTGAAAAAATGGGCTAGGCACAAATTGCCTGTGCCCTCATTCAGGTTAAGTGCCCTGTTCCACTCTACAACACTTGTCCTCCAAACACTGCATCAATGGTCTTATAAAACTGATGTAAGGCCAAGAATAAAGTATTTTTGTGTAGTGTTGGCCTTGAACACAGCAAGCGCAGGTCCCACAGTCTTCTGGGAGACAGGGAAGTATCAAAGACTCTTCTTTGGTGAGAAAATAAGACACAGAGACATGCCCAAGCCAGTGAGCAAATACGTGAAAGTTTGAACATATGTTTGGCTCCAAGGTCTCAAATTTGAAATAAAAGCCTATTCCATTCTACTTTCAGTGAGAGATTTCAGCAAAGGAAAAAAAATGCAAATAAAACATTTCATCGCACTGCCAATTAGTGCTATTGAATGTTAGTGGGTGGAGGTCTTCATGGAGAGAAGCCAAATGCTTTATGCAAGCTGGCTAGCACAAGGGTTTTTTCACAACATAATGCTGGTGCAGATACCAAATGCCAGAAATGCTTTTTACGGAACTGCTCAGGCAACAGCCTGGAAAAGGGTGGGCTGTGGGTTTGGGGTTTGTTTGTTTGGTTGGCTTTAAGTTGTTGGATGCCAATGTATTTGTTATTTGTTTTTTTCATAACTATTTCTGAAAACTCAGAAACTTAGGGAGCCCTTCACGCTATATCCTCACTTGGTAGTCTGGGTGTCTAAAACTGCTCTTATTTTGGCAGTGGCAGCTTCTGCTTCCTACCGAGGACTGCATGAAAGGACTTGGTCTTAAAGGACAACTGGGAAGTCTAGAATTTATTATGATGCACCTCCACCCTTCCTATCATGTTTGTCCCTAATTTTATACCATAAGGGATTCATGCAACCATGTGTAACCACAACAAGAGCAGCTGTCCAAGTATATAGTGACATCTGAGGATGGCCTAGATCCAAAGCCAATAAGCTGTGGCAGAAGACACACATGATAGTCTTTATGACCTATTTCTACCTGACAGATAGTAAAGGCTCACGTGTTTTTCCAAGCAAGAATACTGTCTTTCTTCCAAAGTTCTGATTGTTCAAAATCTCAAGCAGTAAGAAAGAGAAGGAGAAGCTGCAGTTTTGCTTCTGTGGGTATATGAACTCCGAAAGTCAGGGATTCCCAACATGCCATTCAAGGCCACAGCTGAATTCAGTTCAGCCCAAAGGCAGCCACTAAGCCCCTTCTGAGCAAAAGAAAGGCTTTTCCATTAAAACAAAGGGTTAAGTTACTGCTTGTTGGAAAACAACCTCTTTTCCCACTCCCACCCAAGTCAGGGTTGTTTACTGCTGTTGGGGTTTTTTGTTTGTTTTTTTTGTTTGTTTTACCAAACTCAGGCTGTGCCAACACCAATGTGTACAGCACCTGGCACTGTTAGATCAGGTCATGGAGCATACCAGCAAAGATAAAGATTGCTCCTCTTAAAGGGCTGGATTCTGGACTAAAAGGAAAGTATGGTTTTCATTTACAGCAGGACTGGATTTTTCTTTTATACAATACTGGCATTTAAAAAAGAGGTGCACAGGTACATTATGTGATGGTTAATTGAGTACAGGTCTCTCTGATGCAGTTTAAAACAAGAGACACATTTGGGCTTTGTACTTAAGAGCACAACCAAGATGTCAAGTATACAGACCAAGCTTGTGGTCTATACAGGAAACCCGACCAGCCTCCACATTCCACCGCCCATGTCATTCCCCCAGTTTTCTGTCCCCACACACCAATGATACATATGCAGAGACACCAAAAATGTTCAGCACCTTGCTGACAAAAGGGTGGAGGGTAGGACCTTGATCCAAGTAAGGTTAAATTTAGTTCAGTTGTGTTAGTGGCCACATACATGCACCTAGGTAATTAAGGCACAAAATGCTTGCTTTGATGAACTACCTAACTGTTGCATAAAACCAAATAAAACTTGTAACATTTAACAGCAACATTCCCCTTATGGCTATGGTCAGTCTTGTAGCACAAACTAGTAAGTTATAGCTTTAGGTAATATAAGGGATTTTCCTCATCTGCAGAATCAAGATTTTTTTTTTTTTTGGGGGGGGGGGGTATTGGCCGGTTGGGGTTTTCTTGGGTTTTAGGTGCCTTAAAAAAAAAAAAGAGAGAGATTAAAAAAGCAGTTTTTCTTCAAAGAACTGAAAGATCTTGGTTGCAGCAATTCTCCACGCTGCTACCCTACCCGTAGTTAAATGAAAAAGGTAACTAGATATGAAAACACCATGCCTGAATGATGGGAGTTAAGAGGTGTTACAATTCTTCACTGTCAGTGGATGACAGCTTTGATTAAATGTTCTTTCTGGTTATCTTTCCCATTCAGTTACCCACTCAGTGTTATTTCCCAAGGGATGAGCCTAACCACAATGAAGTACCATTAGCAAGAGCTACCTCACAGTGCTATAATTCATCTTTTGCAGAAACCTACCCCAAATGTCTATGATGATCTATAGGTTTTTACACTTCTGTTAGAAACATTTCTGTGCAGAACTGGAACCAAAGCAACTGGAAGCAGAAGTTTTGTTGGAGATCAGTTGCAGACCACACACTGCAGCTCACAGGCCAGTTTGCACTGAAATTCCTGGCAGCCCACAGAAGAGTAGGAGGAGCACAGGCGCACAATATGCTGTGGAAGGCATTGAGGTCTATTTGCACTTATGCTCAACTGTAAGGGAAGAGGGACGATGAGTGTAGTTTGCTTACCATCAAGAATTGCCCATTGCCCGTCTATTTCCGTGTGCTTCAGGTAGGAGTCTTCAATAGTTGGGTCATAATCCGGCACAAAAATCTTCTGGAAAAACTGAATGGTGAGAGCACTCTTGCCCACGCCACCATCTCCAACTACCACCAGCTTGTATGTGGGGAGGTTTTCGCTAGGAACGGCACTTGTAGCCATGCTTCCAGCGTGCTAGACCTGCTGAAGAAAGAGATCATCTCTGATCACCCATAAGCAACAAAAAGAGGACAACATGCACAAGGCTGCTTTTACCTGCTGCCTAAGAAGCAAGGATGAAGGCAGCACTGACATCCAGAGTCCTTTTGGACAGGAGTGGCAGCACCTATGCTCCCCACCAGCTCTACCACAACTCAGACCCACCACTTAGAAGTGCAGACAACCCCACCACTGTGGTTCAGTCTACTCCTGCCTCATCTACAAGCATCCCTAACTGCCACAGATGCGAGTGCAGAACTTTTATCATCTAAATACCTTTCCCATATGGGCTGTGCCCACATGGCCATGCCAAAAATCAGCCTGGCTCAGCGGAGTTTTCAAGCTCCAGATAACTTCCAGTTGTCAGTGACCAAATCCCATTGATAAGCCACAGCCTTGCTATTGTTGACTGCTTAGCCTAGGGTAGAGCAGGCATTAAATGGCGCTTCATTCACAGGGTACAGCAAGCATCCTGGTGTCAGACCCACATGCAGAACCAGCAGTGATGGATGAAATTGGAGTTAAAGGTCCAATCCTGGCTCTGCGGCAGACAAAAATGCACTTAGCTGCTCTCTTCTGTTTTATCTTCAAGTAATAAAAACTAGGTGGCAGCAGGCCAGGAACAACAAGTGTCTTTTGTTTTGCCTTTCTTTCTTTTTCAATAGCCCCAACCCTGCTGTGGCAGGAAGGCTGGTTTCTGTGGCTATGACACAGCCCAAAGAGTCAGGAGAGCAGCTTCCCCTGCAGCACAGCCACGCTGCTCCCCCATCCTGGGTGAGCCAGGGAGGAACTGACTCTTAACAAGAAAGCAGAAAAATATTCACTGGCTGCAACTGGGCAACGGCACACGTGTGTGGAGAAAGAAGGGGCAGTCATTGCTGAACAGCCTGTTTCATCACCCAGCAGCCCTGACAGCTTGTTTAAGAAGCTAGGCAAGCACTCTCCTACATATGCTAAGGCAGGCAGTGCCCTCCACCCGCCCGCAGGCAGCACTAGTGATAAGGATAAAAGAGGGCAGCTATTTCCTTGGTGTTGGTTTTCCTGACACAAGCCTTCCAGCACGAGAGCAGCTGTGGTGACACTTTCTGCAGGCAGCTGCTCGCATCCATTTTGTTTTTTCTCATGCTCTTTCTTTGGGCTGCAGACGCTGGCTGGGATCAGTGCTAAGGGGGGATGAAGACTGCCCTGGGCTGGCTGCACTGAGGGAATCTCCATAAACTGTTGGCATCCCAATTCTCCTTGAATCACATGTATAGGAACTGCCTTAGTTTCTTCTCTGGAAAGAAAACCCTATAGACAGAGAAAGAATGTGATCACAAAGATGAGATCACTGAGGCTAGTAAGAACTGCAAAGGCTTCTTCTCCTAGTTGAGGCAAGCCAATATCTTCAGAGCAAGAAGAAACACGATTAAGTATGCTTGTTTCTAAACTATCTTTGGAGGGAATTCTTGACAACAACAAGAATTTCCACTGTAAGCAGGAGCTGCAGAATGGAGAGAATGAGACAAAGCACCAGCTGAGGTCTCAACCAGGCTTACTGCAGTTCCTCATCATAACCCCAAGGAAAGGTTTCTCACCCTGAATTTTGGCACAGTAAGCAATTTTCACATATTTACAAGATCATACATCAGCAAGCAGCATGCTTGGCTGCATAGAAACGTAGGAATTTTAACTAATTTTATCATTTTTTGCTTGAAAGACCAAGTTTTTCTGTGTAATCCTGCTCAGGTCAGATAGTCCTCACACAGGCTTGTTAGGATACAGACCCTGGCTAAAACACTAACCCTCCCCCCCAACATTGTGATGACAATTTTTTACTTTGCCTGTGGCCAAGATTTCATCCCATCCTTCTCTAGATGGCAGAGCAGCTCTGGCCAGGCGGTATGAAAGACAGATTGTTACTAACATGGAAGGGGACAGGCTGCGGATGTGAAAACCAAACTCCGTTTGTGCAGGATTTTTGACCTCATCACAAAACCACAAGCTACTGCTTGGCAGACAAGTGTTACATTTTCACTGACATTTTGTACCAGTCCCTTCAACTCACTCCTAAGAAGCCTTGAGCTTATCTTGCATGAAACGCTTCTCAAAGTACTAGGATAATATTTAGCCCATTGTACAAACAGTGACTCTGTCCAACATGCTTATGGGTTGAACTGGGTTGTACTGTCATAGAAAACATCTAAGCCACCAGGCTGAATATTATGTAGCCTGGGGAGAACAGCAAGAACTGGGAAGAAAAAAGAAGTAAAATTAAAGAACAGTAGGCTGGTTTGTTGAGCACAACGCCCTGTATTTTAGGTGATGCTATCATGAACAGACAAAAACTTCTATTGAGTGTCAAAAGGCAGCAAGATTAGATGTTTCTATAAGGCTGTTTCTACTGCTCATGGAAACACTCCTCCTTTTACTGAGATGGCAGGCCCTGTGCTCTCAACATGCAGGTATGTAATGCAAACCCTCTGAAAGCCAAGTACTTTAATCCCTCTACACCTCCATCTGCCCTGATAACCATAGCAAGAAGATAGCTCATGCCTTGACAAGATTATCATCTAAACCAGCCAATAAATCAAGCCTTAAAATCAACATATGTTACCTTTTGGAAAACATTAAACACTCACAAAGGTGTGCACAGCTTCCATGGCGGCTGGTTATGTTGCTAGAGGCAAGTGCACAAGACTTGGGCTGATTTTCAAGTGTTTTTGGCCAGAGTACTGACAGAGTCCTCCTCAGATGGGAGCAAGAATAAGCGTGTTTGCTGTAGATCTGAGTGAGAAAAATGAAGCACAGATGTTTTTATCCATTGTCTGAATACAAAGCAGCATGTGGTAATACACTAATAAGCTCTGATGATAATCATCTTACAACTTATATAGTTTATTTTGAAGGAGCCAAAAGAAGGATTCATACCCTACACTGATGAATGCTGTCAGGGCTCTGGTTAAGTCACTGGAAGGAGGCTGATTTATACAACTGTCTTCATACGCGCTGGCAAGACCTGTGTCCTGATAGCACAAGCCAGTAATGCTGACACAGTCAGAAATGTGTCTGGTCCTCAGCCAGATGTCAAAGAGAAAAGGGAAATGCTGACCCAAGACTATTATCGGGGCTGAGCCTCTTCTGCAAAATTGGTATTTTTTTATAGAGGCAGAATAAACTGCATAAAACCCCATTTACCTCTCTGGGCATGGGAATGGAGTGGAAGAGCTATTGCCTTGGAGCAGCTAAGCAACATAAAGACACCAAAGATGGAGAAATTCAGCTTGGTTTGTGTGACTGGACCACCAAGCCCCAACAGGTCACCAAAAGATGTAGGTTGTGTAACTAATCCCTATCCTCACTGCAACACTTGCCCTGAATGTAAGTAGGACAGATTTCAGATTGTGTAAATCATCGTAGTTTCTGTTCATCTGGGCAGAGGTATGGCCACATATGACAATAATAAAATCAACTCCAGATATCTGATGTATAAGTACCCCTAAACCAGGTTCCAGCTCTGCTCTCCTTAAGGCAGAGCTCCCAGGGCAAAATCATTACAGCAGGTAAACGAGCTCAGAGCCAAGCCCTGAATGTGCAGGGGAGGTTAGTGCAATTAAAACACTGGCTCCCTGACAGAGAAGCCCACATGGCAGTGATTTACCGTCTCCATGGCAACACACAACAGAAATTGCTTAAATATGTTATGAAACCTCGAGAAAAAGCTGCAGCAGGATCTGCGTGGGAACCACCAGATCCCTCCTCCTCTGCTGCAGCACTCCAACACCAACAACTTTAGGGAGCCTGCATCCACTATAGCAATAGGCTGAGGTTTAGATTCAGCATATACTTCAGTGTATGCATGTATGCTGACCAATTCCACCAGCCCATGGCCAAAGGAATTTTTCTATCATTGACTTGGTTTGGCCCATGGATAGCTCTTCGCATACACCCTGCCGGAGCTCTGTGTACCTGAGGACACCAACCTCACTTGAGGCTGAGGAAGACTATCGGCCACCAAGGCTGCCAACTACTCCTATGGTTGCAATTAATAACTCTTCCTCTAGCCACAGCTCACTCAATTACGCCCTTTTACCTGGCCACTTTGCAAGCATTAGCAGCAACATGCAATGCCTCAAGGGCTGAAACACTACAAGATCTGAACACTTCCCTCGCTGTTCCTCCTGCAGACTGCTGGCTGCAGCCACACAACCACCACAACACACCCAGAGACGCTTGCCAGGTACAAAAATAGTTCAGTCTTATGCGTTGTAGGCAATCCCTTGGGCTGGGAGCTACTGAAAACTCTTGAAACACAGGACATGCCCTTTTAGGAGGTAGCTGCTTCCCCCGAGTTATACTGATGAGGACTGAATGAACTCCAGGAATTTCTCCCTCAAGTAGGCATGACTGTGTCCCAAACTTTTTGAGAGCAAAAGGTGTATGAACAACCACTACCAATTATTAAAGAAAGATGATTAACTCTTAGCCAGGTTTCCTCCAGTCTAGCAGATTTCCTGCCTGGTCAATGCCTCAAAAAGAACACACCAAGCAAAAGCTGGTCTTCAGTGGGAAGTCATCATGGAAGATATCTGTCATGCGGGAAGCCAGAGCCTAATGCCCTTTGTAGTTATGGCATTAAGTTGTTAAAAACACAAGTGAAATTTCAACTCTCTGAGGTTTTCTAATAAGGTGGATCCTATCAGGTGAGAGTGCTCTCAACTCCCATCAGCTTCCAGGAGATCTGATGGAGCCCAGCACCTGGCAAGACCTGCACAGGAAATTACAGGCATTTCCTTTTGGAGCAATGATCAAAGCACTATCAAGAGTGCTACTAAAGAGGAGAAAAAAATAAGGCCAAAATCCAACTGTTGTTTAAAAAGAAAATCCTCAACCCAGCAATAAAGAGCTGCAACTGGTTGGGTTTTGAATCTGGGGGATGTAGCTGTGAACCCTGGAAGTGGCCTGTGAATTCTCCTCCAGTGCAAAAAGATGCTGAACCCTGAAGG